TTACCAACGCCGTGTTTACCGATGACAGATGGCCACGATTTCCAGTCTATGCCAACACGAGCATTAAGATCACCTAGAACTATGATGTTGTCATCTTTAGCTGCAGTAATGCAAGTGCCAAGCCGCTCGTAAAACTGTTCTTTGTATTCATGTGTTTTTTGCATAGTTGGTGCATATACGCTGATAAGTGTAAGGTGTTCGCCACTCTTCAAATGTATGCGCACTGACATAAGCCTGTCATTGATTGGAATCGGATTGATACCTTGAGGAGCTAGTTTGTTGGAGATGGCAAAACCAACACCTGCTGCGTTCTCTTTTCCTCCACTCCAGTAGATTGTCTGCCTTCTTTCAACGATATTGCCTGAGCCGGGACATCGCACTTCACTGAGCGCACAGATATCATAAATGCTTTCTCTAATTCTCTGCAGATGATAGCTGTTGCACGTTCTGGTCTGATTGAATTATCACTATCATTAGAGGTGCATACATTCCAAGCGCCAAGGGTGAGAGACTGTCTTCTGGGGGGTTTAACGTTGTGGATTGTAGATTGGTCGTCGGTTACCCCGGACGCGGTCGCATTATACGGTCTTCGCCCACTTGCCAACACTGCCGTATGTTGTGTCGCATCGGTTACCCTGAATGCAGCAATCATATCTTCTTCTCTGAACTGTACTGTCATTATTAAACTGCGAGGCTACGCCTATGATGACGACGCTACATGGCGCAGGATAGCGTCCCTTGGCAAGAAGTCTTGTTGATCGACGGCACAGCTTAGCTGAGACGGCCGCCTGAGAAATCTTGTTGCTTGATTGCCAGAACCACACAAATATATATATATACACACACACAAACAAACAGCTACCTGTGCAAATATTTGAACACTATCAAAATCTATCAATGTTTGTACAATGGCTCCCCCGATGTCGGTTACTATACTGAATACCATAGCAGTGCCCATCACTCCGGTACAAAGGTCCCTAGTAGTAGAAGGCGCTTCGAGAGAATAGGTAGAACATAGTAGAGAGCGGAGTAGCAAATATTCTAAAACCATGGGCATAAAAAGAACTAAAAACGCGAAAATAGACGAAATTAACGTTGTCTTGCCAATTTTACGTTCGTGGTTGGCATATACCTCGATTAAAACGAGTATTAAAGCAGACTATCAAACACACCTGAATGTGCTAACGTACACGCACACACACGCACGCACGCACGCACGCACACACATCGGTCGCGCCACGCGCGCCACCTACCGGTCACCACTGCCCAGCTTCCCATCTTGGACAGATCGGCGTACAGATGGAGTGGACGTGAGAGAGCGTAAACCTTCACGAGGCGGCAGACGAAGCGGAGGCAGGAGAGAGCGACGTACGCCGAGCAGACGACACCGATGACGGCGAAGACGTACGTACACACGCAGACGCCGCCCGCAGCAGCAGCAGCAGCAGCAGCAGCAGCAGGAGCCGTATCCATGGTTACAGCAGACGATAGCGCCAAGATGCCTGCATGGACAAGATATTTAATACAAAAGATATAAGCAATATAATTTATATATATATATCAAGAATCCATAATAGAAAATATCATATATATATATATATATAATATATATATAACAGGTTCTATCTGGGTTGGGGAGGGGCGTTTCTCTTAATGTTGGCATTGCTCGGCTTATGGGCTGTGGTACAAGATTTGAACCAGGGGCGGTCTAACCGCTAAACCATAGTTGCGAGCACTAAATTTTTAAACATTACACCCCCTCAGATGCGTTTTCTAGCGCGGAGCAAGGAGGGTCGGAAACTCCCTGGACCACCCTGTACACGCCCCTTGCTCCTGGGCGGCGCGAAGCGACAGGCCGAGGAAGCAAAGCCGATCGAGCGGAGGGGGAGGGTGTGGGAGGCGGGGTGTTCACTTGGTCACCCTCCCGCATCGATGGAGATTTGAATTATTACCACTTAAAATGGATGCGACCTGAGTCCGTGAAATTTCTTTGCAAAATTTTCTAAAAATTTTTTTTGGCTTGGGGGCTGAGAGGTGCTCGGGGGGGGTTCGAACCCCCCGAACCTCCCCTGCGATACGGGCCTGTATATATATATGATTTCGATGTTTATTGGAATGTTTCCAACTCCTTTGGTAACGATAACTTGATAACATCGGATAGCTTCACACCGTTCGGCCGTTAGATATTCAGCTAAGGATAATGCGCCGACAGAATAACGCCTACTTCGACTCTTTACCTTGACAGCGCGGTTGAGAGTTGGTATATGATCTGGATGGTTATGATGGATATGATGGAATGGTTAAGTTGGGCCACGATACAAAAGGAGTGAAATGTTAAGGCGACTATCGTACATTGAATCCATTCATCATTTGTGCTCCTGTCATATGTGTCTACAACAGGCATGAATGTTCAGGGCCGCCAGGAATTTTTCGCTTTCCAAACGGTATAACATAGCCGAAGAATTTTAGCGCCTTCTTGATTTCTTTGGCTGCTGTCGATTTGCTTCTGCCTTTGACATGAACATGAGAACGAAACACCCATTGTAAATTTTTGTTTGTGCTTTCATGACTCTAGACGGACTTGCGGCCCCGGTTTTTCGCGCGCAGCGCGCAGCTCAGCGGCAAGCCGCGCCCCAACACGAATACGCCGCCCCCTTCTTTTGTCCACCTTAGGACACGATATCATGAGACAGAGGGTCTGAAACGCCACTCGGCGAAAACTTGGGCGCAATCCAACGACATTTCAGCGCATGGAGGCAGAGGAGGCCATCTCCCAAACGGCCCCTAAACTTTTTTTTTGGGGATTTGGCGCGCTCATGGCTAAGGAACATAGTGACTCCTACAAGAAAAATGCAAGAATGCTGTCAATCAGTAGATGACGCGCTCGCTCAGTGGCCGCTACGCGATGACGGCGGCTAGTGCCGAGTTATCAGCTTATGTCTATCACAGAGCTGTTTTACGAAGTGTCGTACGGCGCTCCACGCTGGGGTGGGCGCGCCTACATGCTTCTTCAACGCGGGCTCCCGCCGTGCCGGCGCTCTGACTGCGTACGTGCGAGGTTTTACCAACCTACCTATTGACCCCGCGCTGCCGTGGCGGACAGCAGATTCTGTGCGCAGCACCTGCCGCTTGGGCGTGGCGGGCGAAATACTGCCGAGCAGGTGGTGGCTGTGGCCGTGCAGTTTTTACACTAGCTAAGTAGATTACTCCCAAATCAAGTAACCAGCAAACAAAACTCGCGCCCTGACCGCCGCATGCGCTGGCCTCTGCAGCAGACAGGCAGCAGCAAAATGGCGGGGTATGCTATCCCCGGGCGTGAGGTGAGGTGACCTCAACGTGGCCAGCCACTAGTGTGGGATAGTGTTAGGATTAGCGTTAGGATTAGGGGTTAGGAATTTCAGGGTTAGGATTAGGGCTTCGGGTTAGAGGTTAGCGATTTAGGCGTTAGGGTTAGCGTTTTTGCATCATGATATCTGTCCCACACCATAGATTAACTTTTTTAGTATGGATCACGAATGCTATATATAGCGCGGGCCGGATACATACATATGTAGTGTGAGGGGTTTAGTGTTGGGACGCGTGTTTGGAGTGGCAGGGTTACCGTTTAGGCAGTTAAATTTGAACGTCATCAGTCAAGGTATCACGCTGACTCCCTCCACACCCTGGAAGATAGAACACCCAGCCAAATGCCCCCATCGGAAGGCGCCATAGACCGAGCGGCTTGTGTGACGAAAACTGCCAGCATGCTTACGCCTTCCGCTAATACGGGTATTCTGCGCGCCCGCCCTCCTTCGGCCACTGCCGAATCGTAGAGCGGCAGCGCGAGATGCTACATAAAACATCCGCGTCCGCTGTTGCGCCAGTCCGCGGAATGGTGCCGCGGACTTAACCGCTCTCCGCGCGGTCGGCAGAACACGTAATCTTTTGCCGGCCCGCCATCTTGTACCGCCGTCTCTCTGTGTAAGTACGTTTCTAGCATGTATTTATCCTAGTATTTAAGAAACTTATCTTTTCCGTCAATTAATATAAACATTAATATAACATTATAATTTGCAATTTCTTTCTGCCAAATGTGTTATTTTCATTCTCGCATTCTTCAAGTTATGGAGGGTCTGGCGCTCTCGGTAATATGTAACATACGTTACACGTACGTATGTACTTGTTGTACACGCACTCGTAGTGCCTCGTCGCAGGAGGAAGGAGCGAAGGGCTACTGACAGTACTACTAGGTTCGCACGACAAGTACTAGAGCAAAAAATATACGTAACTCGTAACTCGGTTGCATGACGGCTTAGTAGTAGTATTACTAGTCACGGTAGTAGTCGGAGTAGTAACCCTATGTGGTTTTAACCCTGAGGTCAGCTGAAACGTATAAACTAATCGGGGACACGACACGAACATAAACAGAAGGCTGTTGCTACTGCCAACGGTAACCGTCGCCATTTTTTTTTCTCTTAAAGACGGCGTAGTGTTATGCCTCAGGCCATCTATCGGCGGACAGGTATTACAGGTTAGCGACCCTGAAGCCCTACCCTAAACCTTCTTTGACGACGCAGGGTTATAGCAGCTCGTTGCCCGACTTATCAACAATCAGGCCGTCAGTACCGTTACGTGACTTTTAAGAGAAAAAAAAGCTGGCGCGGTACCATTTGAGTAGAACATTCGGATAAACAGAAAACTCGGAGTCTATAGGCCCAAGCGATAGAGAACATGAATATCCAATTAAAACCAATGTGCCCTAACCCCTAACACCTACCCTACATTCTAACCCTAACCCTAGTATTGAAATAATATACTACTACTATAATACTATTATACTATATGCTATATACGATATATGCTTATATTTGTATTGATGTAAAATGACATTGGTTTATTGGATACATGTTATCTATCCTTTGAACCAAAACTGATAACTATGTTATAGTATACTTATCTAGCAGTCATAAACCAAACACAACATTTACAAACGGCTGTACGTACCGGGGCGCCTGTTTGTTCTCTTGCATTGAAGGTTTTCTTTAGTCAAAGCAAATCAGTCAACAGAAACGGCATGATATTGGGTCCGTTAAATTCACTTCAAACCGCATGTATGTTTTAAAGAAAAAATACTAAAAATACAAATTACAGTTTATGACGTCAAGTATGGCGCGCGCAGTTTTACACATCCGCCATCTAGCGCCCGATCTAAGGAAACTAATGGGGAATGTCTCATAGAGTTTCTATAATAATTAGTAGTTATTATTATTATTAATACAACTCTATGAATGTATACATTAGAAACATGGGAATGTATCGCGAAGGGCTATCGTATTTGATGACTAAGCCTATTTAGTTCTATTATCTACGCCAGTAGAGCGATCTGCGCTATAGGGCGATCTGCACACATAAGTGTATTCAGCTTAATTATTATTCGGCTTAATACTATATGTGCATTAACCCTACTTATTATTTGGCTTAATTACTATAGTCTATGGAGGCTGACATCTGCCCAGATTGCCAGGCCAATCAGAAGGCCGCCTACAATGCCTTCCTATGTATATAGCCGTTTGGGAAAAAAATTTCCGGCCGGCCGCACCATACATACGTATAGGTCCGCTGCTGTAGATATGCGTGATCTGGTGTATTGTGCGTGGACGGTGCCTGCCCGCCACCATACATACGTTAGAGTCCGTGTGTGTATGTGTGTCTGACGTGGTGTGCCGTTCGCGCGCGCGACGGATGGCCGGCCGCACCATACATACGTTAGGTCCGTGTGTGTATGTGCATGTCTGGTGAGGGTTGTGTGTTGGCCGTGGACCGGTGGCCGCCGATGAACCATACATACTGTGAGGTCCGTGTGTGTATGCGTGATCTGTGTGTGTCCGGGCCTGTTTTGTGTGGGCTATCGTGGTGGACGCGTGGCCGCCGCACCTACATACGTTAGGTCGTGTGTACGTATGTGTGTCTGGTGTGTTGGTAGTCGCGCGTGGACGGTGCGCCGCCGCACCATACATACGTTAGGCTACCGTGTGTGTTATGTGTGTCTGGCTGTGTGTGTTGCGCCGTGGAAGCGGCTGGCCGGCCGCACCTATACATATCGTTTAGCGTCCGATGATGTGTTAGTGTGTCTGGTCGCTGTATCGTGGTCGTGCGCGGTGGTACGGCTGCGCCCGCCGCACATACATACGTTAGCGTCCGTGTGTGTAGACTGTGTTGGTGTGAGCAGAGTGTGTACCGTGCGCCAATCGTGACGGTGGCCGGTCCGCACCATTACATCGTTAGGTCCGTGTGTGTTATGTGTGTCTGGGATGTGTGTTGTGTGTGTGCGGTGGACGGACGCGATGGCCGGCCGCCACAGACATACGCTTAGGTCCGTGTTGTGGATATGTGTGTAGTGTGGTGTCCTTGGGTATGTGTAGTGCGCTGTGGACGGTGGCGCCGCCCACCATACATGACGTTACGCGTCCGTCGTGTGATATTGTGATGTCTGGTGTGGTCGCAATTTGTGCGCAGGGTGGAACGGTGGGCGGCCGCACCATAGCATACTTAGTGTCCGGCGTGTGTAGTGATGTGTGGTCTGCCCGTGTTGGTGCGGCGCGTGGACGGTGGGGCCCGCGCCCCACCATTACATACGTTAGCGTCCGCTGTGTGTATGGTGCTCTGGTGTGGCTTTCGCGCCGAGTGTGTGCGCACCGTGGACGGTGAGCCGGCCGCCCACCATACATACGTTAGGTCCGGTGTGTGTATGCGATGCTGGTCTGGACCTGATGTGTGTCGTGTGCGCGCTGGACGAGTTCGGCCGCGCGCACCAATACATACGTTTAGCGTCCGCTGTGTGTATGTAGTGTCTGCGTGTGTGTGTTGCGCTGTGCGACGGTATGGCCGGCCGCCCCCACCATACATAGTTATGGTCACGGTGAGTGTGTATGTTGTGTCTGGGGTGTGCCGTGCGTGGACGGTGGCCTGGCCGCCACCTATACATACGTATAGCGGTCGTGTGTGATATGTGTGTCTGGACGTACTTGCTAGTGTTGGCGATTGCGCCGGGACTGCGCCGGCCGCCACCATAACATCGTTTAGGTCCGTGTGACGTGTATGTTGGTGTCTGCGCTGTGCTGTGTGTGCGCTGTGGACGGTGGGCCGGCCGCACCATACATACGTTAGGTCCGTAGTGTGTATTGCGTGTCTGGTGTGTGTGTGCGCGTGGACTCGGTGGCCGGCCCGCACCATACATACGTTAGGTCCCGCATGCTGTGTATGTGTGTCTGTGTGTGTGCGTGTGCGCGTGTGACGGTGGCGGCTCCGCACCATACATACGTATAGGTCCGATGCGTACTGCTATGTGTGTCTGTGCTTGCGTGCGCGCTGGTACGGTGCGCCCGCCGCACGCATACAATACGTTAGCGTCGATGGACTGTGTATGTGTTGTCTGGTGTGCCGTCGTGTGGTTGCGCCGTGTACGCGTCTTGGCCGGCCGCACCAACATCACGTTAGTCCGTGTGTGTATGGTGTTCTTGTGTCTGTGTGTGCGCCAAGCTGGACGCGTGGCCGGCCCGCCACATAACATAACGTTTAGGTTCGTGTGTGTATGTGTGATCTGGATTCTGTGCGCTTCGCGCTGGCGCGTGGCCGCCGCACCATACATGGACGTTTAGGTCCGTGTGATATATGCGTGTCTGGTGTGAATTTTGTGTGCGCTGTGGACGCGCTGGCGGTCCGCCACCATACATAACGTTAGGTCGTGTGTGGTATTGGGGTCTGGGGTGTTGTGCAGGACAGCGCTGTGCGCGTGGACGGTGGGCCGGCCGCCACCAGATACATACGTTAGCGTCCGTGTAGTGTATGTGTGTCTGGTGTGTGCGTTTGCGCGTGGCACGCGTGCGCCTGCCGCTCGCACACATACATACGTGTTTTAGGTCCGTGCGTGTAGTTATGGTGTCTGGTGTGTAGGTCCGTGCGCCGTGGACGCGTTAGGCCGGCCGCCACCATACATACCAGTTAGGTCCGTGTGTGTATGTGTGCTCTGGTGTGTCGTCGTGTCGCGCCGTGCGACGGTGCCGCGCCGCCCACCATACATACGTTAGCGTCCGTGGTGATGTATGCGTGTATGGTGTGTGCGCGGTGGACGGCTGGCGGGGCGCCACCATACATACGTTAGGGGGTCCGTGCATGTGTATGATGTGCTCTGCAGGTGGTGTGATGTGCGTGCGCGCCGTGGCACGGTGGCCGGCCGCACCATACATAACCGTTACGGTCCGCTTCGAGAGCTTGTGTATTATGCGTGTCTGGTGTCAGTGCGTCCGCGCCGGGACGGTGGCCGTCCGCACCATACCATAACGTTAGGGTCCGTGTGTGTATGCTGTGTCTTGGTGTCGTGCGCGTGGACGTGGCTACTGGCGCACCATACACTACGTTAGCGCGTCCGTGTGTGATATGCATTGTGTCTATC